CTTAGCATGATTTTTGATGGAATTAAGAAATTGAATAAAGGTGAAAAGCATTTAAAGATTACTTGTGATAATGCTGGAGGACAAAATAAAAATATATTGGCAACAAATAAAATATTTAGAATAAAATCACTTCCATGACTTTATCACTCATTAATTTGTCTCTTGCTGTTATTAAGTTTAATAAGCTTAATCTTTTGACAAATATTGTTAATTTTAAAGTAAAAAAGCACTAAAATAATTTATATACTTAATATGCCCATAAAAAGGATATAAATATATTAAAAGAATAAAAAAAAAAGTAAAATCATGACAATATTTTAACTGAAGAGGAAATAAGAGAACTAATTGGTAATTTAAACCGAAATCCAAGTGAGGCAGAGATAAGAGCAGTTACAGATTACTTTTGACTTCACCCTTATGCATTACAGCATTTAGAAGACAAAAAATTCAGAGAAAGTTTTGTTCGTCTTATTTACTTGCATAAGAATGCACTTGATTCATACGTAAAAGTTGACAAAGAAGTTAAAAGTTTACAATTCTTAACAACTAGTTTAGAGCAAGAGAGAAATGAATTGCTTGAAAAAAATAAGCAATTGGAAGTAAAGAATAAGGAATTAGAAACTAAACTAGAAGAGTCAAAGGAGGAGGTTCAAATGGAATGTGAAGAAGCAGAAAAGGCTTTGAAAACAGCAAGCATATGAAGAGTAAGACAGGTTGATGAAATGAAAGATAGACATGACAAAGAAAGGAGTAACCTTTGACAACAAGTAAAAAAGTTGGAAAATATTCTAACAATCAAGAACAGTCAAATCAAGAATCTCAAAGAAAGCAAAAATTGAGGGCAATATAAGTTTAAGCAAATGTTTAGTGGGTTGAATTGAACAAAGAATAGAACTCAAGAGAAGTTTCAAGATTTTATTGTTCAAAAAGACAAATAATATTTATGAAATTAGAGTATAGAGTATTAGAACTAGCTGATGGTCATGAATGACAATGTGATTTTTGTGTCTTAGACTATGATGATCCAAATAACCTTGCTTTAAATACTGCTCTTGCTACCCATGAAATGGTAGCATTAGACAAAAAGACTGGTGATTATACTGACACAGCTTTTATTTGTAACGAATGTAAACAAGATTTTGATAGTAATGTTCTTCCTTGGTGCGAAAAGTGTGGTAGAACAAAAAGAAATAGAAAAAGATGTTTTTGTCATTTAGAGAAAGACAAATCAACTCAACTTGTTTCTGAAGAAGACTTGATGTCTAGGTCGTTTAGTTACCATTTAGAAAACAAGACTAGAGAACTAGAAAAAGAATTATCCACCACTAAAGAAGAGTTAAACATTGAAAGAGAAGAAGTAGCCAAGTTTCAGGAAAAATCTGAAGAGTGAAGTAAAAAGCAAAAACAGGAGTTATTAGATAAGATAAAAAGTTTAGAAGAAAAAATTAATCATCTAGA